GGGGGGGGGGGGGGGGGGCGTACTCTTTTGTTGCTTGCCGTAGTCATTTGTTGCCAGCCCCTAGACATGAAAGAGGCAATGTGTACACCGAAGGATGCCGAAGGCCGGGACCAGGCCGGGTCTAGAATCATAGAAGGGTGGGAAGAGCTGGTAAACACAACAGCAAGTAGAGTTCTAGGTAGAAAGTTGATAGTTTGTAAGAGAGCAGTGAAGTGGTGGGACGAAGAAATCAAGCAAGCAATTCGAGTATAGTATTGTCTATTCTATACTATACTATACCCGTGTGTTCACAACCAAGTAGTAGGGCGACTCGCACGAAGGACACCAACACCTTGAACGCGCTTACACTCCGGCAAATATCACTTGCTGCTGCTTCGAGCACAAGCAGGCCGTGCGCGGCGTGTGATTGATCGCCAGAGGTCTTTGATGTTTTTCTTCTTTTGAGAGTGTCGGCGGAGGTAAGAAGCTACGTAGACGACTCTCGACGAACGAAGCGAACAGCGGCTACTCCCTCTCCGTCCGTTTCCTGAGGGGAATATTCATGCATCCTGCTTCACGCACGCCTCCCTCTGCCGCCGGTCGAAACCCCTGCCTCGACACCCCGCAAAAGGAAATCGAACGGTTTCCCCGTCCTTCCCCGCCCAACAGCACTATCTAGAACATGGAGTAAGGGCGGTGTAGACTGTTTACCAGCAGACCAGCAGCAGGGGTTGGCACTATAGCCGGTCTCGAGAAGGCTTGCATACAGTCCGTAATCAGACGAAAACGGCAAGCAACAAACGATTACCCTTCCCCTCCCCTTCCCCTCCGACGCGCGTACGACTTCCTCGACTCACCTCGGCCAGCCTCGAGTACAGAACCAGCGCGCCGCCGTAATCGCCCGCCGTCGCCCGACGCAGCGCCGCCTGCATGCCGTCCATCCACGGCCCCCTCTCGACAACGTTCTTGAAAAGGCTCACGGCGGACTAACAGAACGGTCAACAGGTGGACCACGGACGGACGGACGGACGGACGAGCATCGTGGCGAACAACGTTAGCAGACAGGTCGGGGAAAAAACAAAATAATTGCATGTCTCCCACCAGGCTCATGGACGGCCCAACACCAAGCCAAACCATGAGGGGACGGCATATACAAGGGGGGGAGGGGGGGGGGGGGGAAGATACAAAAGGCATGCAGAGACAGCAGGCAGGGATGGATGTCGGGGGACTGCCGGATGAGAAAACGAGGGGACGAGGCAAGCAGACGCACGATCGAACGAGCAAAAACAAAACGACAACAAAGAATGCTTTTTAGAATGGTTGTACCCTAAAAGTAACAAACAACAACTATTACATCCTAAAAGCAGACGCGTCGCAGCAGCAGCGGTAGGAGCAGGCGGCGGCCAGACTGTGGGTGGCTACCTCTGGGTCACACACGGCCCTGGCCAGCTCGCACAACTAGACGATCCGAAACTATACACATCACCACCAACAACAACAACAGCAACAACAACACAACAGCAACAACAACAACAACAACAACAACAACAACAACAACAAGCAACCACCTTCCACCACACACACACGACCGCCCCACCTGGCACCGGGTGGCCGTGAGAGGCTCCTCCCCCTCGTCAGCCTGGAGCACGGCTGCCTGGAACATGGCCTCCACGTGCCCCATCGCCGCCGCCGCCGTCAGGTGGGCCAGGGCCTTCTTGGTATCCTTCGCAGATAGGGTCACAGACTCACCCCCGCTCATGATTGTCGTCTTCGTACCGCCGAGATCAAGCTCCACCGTGTTGGAGACGTACATCTTGCCGTCGTCGTCGTTGTTGTTGTTGTTGTTTCGGGAAGCGGCAGTGCCAAACAGGACGAGATCAATGGGGGGGAGGGGAGAGAGAGAGAGAGAGAGAGAGAGAGAGAGAGAGAGAGAGAGAGAGAGAGAGAGAGAGAGAGAGAGAGAGAGAGAGAGAGAGAGAGAGGACGCGTGGGCTAAGATAAGAGCATCGCACCAGGCGGGTACTTGTTGCCGTACGCCCTCCTTCCCTCGCCCCGCAGAGAGCTCTTGCGTAAACAACAACTCCGTTTGGGCTCTTTTAAGCCGGAGGTGGGGGTGGAAGTAGTACCGGTATGGGCTACAGTTGCTGTAGCCCTAGCCCTTTGAACCAGGCAGGGAAGATCGCGCAAGCAAATTGGAACAGAAGTTCGACGTGACTCATTGAAAATACAACAGGCGATATCAAGCAATAAATCTACAAGACAACCCCCACCAACCGTTCCCCTGTCTCTCGCCACTTCCCACGTTCACCTTGGGCGTTTCAAAGAATGGGCAGCAGACCGGGGGGTCACGCCATTGTAAAACACCCCCCCCCCCCTCCCAAAGCCGTGGGTTTTCGTCGCTTGGCAGCGATGTTGTAAAACAAGCCGATCACTTTGTGAGCTCGGCAACCAGGTTACCGGGTTTTTGCCTTTGTTTTTCTTTGCGGTAACCATGAATGGTGGTCGAGTAGATCATGTTGTGTGGGGTCGAGAACCCTCACTCCCCGCAAGGGGGATGATCGCACCACGTTGTGTTAAATTGGTCAACTATTCTCGAGGCAGTTACACAGTGCTTACAACTGTCTCTGGAAGTGAAAGCACCAGAAAATAAATTAAGTAATACGCAGATGTCATCCGTACGCAAGGAAGTAAGCACAAGATGCCGAACACCCTTCATGCGACTCGCCGAATACCTCACGGCGCTTCGCGCTTGGTGATGTGAGAGCCTGGTCCGGTGAGAACCCGGCGTGCTCCGTCCCGGCTTTGTAGGGATGCGAGGTCAATGGTCTAACGACTACGGCATGCACGACTATGAGTACACCCCCCGCCCCCGCCCCCGTCCCAAAAAAAGAGCCCCATCACCGTGCGACTCACCATCCCCAGGTTGAAGAGAATGTCGGGGTTTTGATTCTCCTTGTCCTCCCGCCGGGCCTGCTCGAAGTAATCGAACGCGACCCGGACATCCCGCTTCACGCCCAGGCCGTGCAAGTAGAGGTAGCCGAGCCCGTTCAAGCTCACGTGGGTCGTCTTTTTTTTTTTGTGCAAGCCAGGCGTGCGTGCGTGCGTGTCATCCGTGAGAAAGAGATAGAGAGATAGATAGAGAGAGAGACAGAGAGACAGACAGAGAGAGAGATAGGGGGGGGGAGAGAGAGAGAGAGAGACAGATAGAGAGAGAGACAGAGAAAGAGAGAGAGAGAGAGAGGGAGAGAGAGAGAGAGATAGGGGGGGGGACAGACAGAGAGAGAGAGAGAGAGAGAGAGAGAGAGAAAGGGGGGAGAGAGAGAGGTGTGAAGGACGGCGGTGGCTCAGCATTAGTCGGCACCGGCAGGGAGATCATCACGTCCAGCAAACGCCGTGAGTTTGGAGACGTGGAACAGTCGGGAGCATGGGGCCAAGCTTCTACACTCAAAAATGATCAGTGTTGTTGCAAGCAACAGAGGCGCAGCGTTGGATCGCACCCACGGAAGCTTCGAAAACATCGATACGAGCGAACGCGGATAGGTGAGGCTTAGAGGTCTGGGGCCAGGTCGATGAAGTCTTTACTACGGAAACACCTGTTTTCGGATCGCAGACCGAGGTAAACACAAGGGGGGTATATAACACTCGACAACCAGGTAGAGACAAGGGGTGAAATTTGTTTTGTCTAGATGTTTGATCAACTTTCCACCCTCTCCCGTACTCATGCTCAACCCGAACATAATTCATGAGGTCACATCGCCCTACCCCACTCTGTCCCATTATCCCACGCGTGCACCGATCGCATGGTATCACAACACCATGGACGACCGAAACAACCACCACAACGTAAACCACTCGTGCTTGACCAACAGCAACAGCAACAGCAACATAACACCAAAAAGAACCAAAGCCACCAAACAACACAACAACAACATCAGCAACAACAAAAATAACAGCACAACACGTGACAGCAACAAGTGACAAACAACAACAACAACAACAACAACAACGCCGCACACCTTGCTCGCCAGGAACTTCTTATAGGCGGACTTGTAGTCGATCGGCGTGCCGGCCCCTCTCATCTGCAGGTTTGCGGCGAAGGACATCGAGGCTGCGTCCGACAGCTCCGCCCCTATCTCATACATCTCGTACGACTTCTCCAAGTCCTGGTCGAGCCCCCTAACGAAGAACGAAAAAAAAAAGTTCATGAACCCATGTCACAAGTTTCCGTATGCATGCATGCATGCATGAACAAATCTCTAATAAACGTAGCGTCGAGCAAAAAAAGGTGCCACAACCGCCGGCGGATGTTAGGAACAACTTGTGAGTCTGAATTTCGCCTGGTTCGTTGCTGACAGCAGTAGTGAAAGCGTGGGGTGCAACAAGCCACCCTGCTACTACCATTGCACCTCTCAAGGTGGCTCTCAGGCAGAGTACATGACCGCAGTACCAATGCATGCGCAGCAAGAGCGTGCCTTGCGCATCGTCTTGTCACGAATGGCCGATTCCAATAAGCCTAGATGCAAGCTTCATCAGTCCATCAAGATTGTAACAATCCGCTGTATAGGTCGTGCAATGCTCGGGTGAAAGCAGTGGGTACGCCATCATCTCGACCGTTTGCACCACAGACAGCGCCGCCATTTTTACATGAGACTATGGTAAAACAACTGATATATGAGAATTTGGTAAAATAAGTGCGTGTTCACAGGCTGTGCTCCTCGGTCATCGAGAACAAGAAATACATTTCGAAGAACGGCTTGTACTTCTGAAGTATTTATCTTGCAACCCTTGTACACCCCGGTTTGTATCGACTATTCCCGTGAAAAGGAAACACGACCGCCTTCTGCCTCCCCGGCAGAAGGGGGAGGGCTTCACGAAAAAAACAGGCGGGACACCGACTCCAACAGGGTGGGAGCGGAGACAAAAGGTTTACCCACAAAACTAAAGCGTTTTACGTTTATTATTTGTTGTCTTCACTTCAAATCAAAGCTCTCACAGCACTTGTGCCGTTTGCTCCAACGCGTGGTCACACAGAAGGGTTCCTCTCCCTGAGGCCCCCCACCCACCCCTCCTGCGGTACCGCTGTGCCTCCGATTCTTACCGCGAGAAGACAGAGTGCAGCACTCTCTACTCCATTGCCCACAACACGAAACACACCTGACGCCGTGTTGGTACAGCAACCCCATCACCCTGATGGAACCCACGTCCCCGACTTCCGCCCCGGCTCGCCACATGTCCACCAGCTCCTGGTCCGAGTCGGAGGCCGGCCGCCTACCCGCGACGAATCGCACCGACAGCCGCGTCCGGTCCACATTTCTCGAGACCCCGCCGCATCCTTCCGCGTGAAGGTCGGCGATCACCTCCCGCGCGGCCATGTAGTAGTGCGAGAGGGACTTCTGGCAGTTCTGCGGGGTGCCGATTCTGTTTTGGGAGGCGGGGGGGCGGGGTGTACTCATAGTCGTGCATGCCGTAGTCGTTTGACCATTGACCTCGCATCCCTACAAAGCCGGGACGGAGCACGCCGGGTTCTCACCGGACCAGGCTCTCACATCACCAAGCGCGAAGCGCCGTGAGGTATTTGCCGAGTCGCATGAAGGGTGAGCTGCATCCTGCTAAGGGTGTTCGGCATCTTGTGCTTACTTCCTTGCGTACGGATGACAGCTACGTATGACTTAATTTATTTTCTGGTGCTTTCACTTCCAGAGACAGTTGTAAGCACTGTGTAACTGCCTCGAGGAAGCTTGGCCATTTAACACAACGTGGTGCGATCATCCCCCGTTGCGCGGAGAGAGGGTTCTCGACCCCGCACAACATGATCTACTTGACCACCATTATGGTTACCGCCAAAAAAAAAAACGAGGTAAAAAAAAAAACCGGTAACCTGGTTGCCGAGTTCACGAAGTGAATTGGCTTGTTTTACAACGTCGTTGCCAAGCGACGAAAACCCAATCCCGATGGCAAACACCGAGTGGGGGGCTTGTTTTACAACGTCGTTGCCAAGCGACGAAAACCCAAACCCCGATGGCAAACACCGGGGGGGGGCGGGGGGGGGGGTGAGAGCGTTCAGCAAGCACGTGGTACCGGCGTACCTCCAACCAACCAACCAACCAACCAGGTGGTGGTGATGACCTGGCAGTGCATACGAGGGAGAGAGTCTAGCGCTATTCTTCAAAAGTCTTGCGATAATTTGTTCAAATATTTTTCCAGCAGGAGGGCAGCACTGCTGTAGACTTCCATAAATAAATATATTTTTAAGAATCGATGCAGACTAAGCTACACCACGTCGAGCACCCCCCGCTACTCCTGGGGTTGATGGTGGAACGCGAGCGTCATCGCGCAAAGCAAAAGAGCAACGGTTCTCGTGAGTTGAGTATTATAATAATAGTGGCGCGCACGACACTGCGGCGTCGGAACGTGTTGTAAAAACGGGGGATGAGGGACCAGTGCCGCCCGCGGGCCGGTGTATGTACACCTTGCCAGCCAGCCCAACAAACGAACAAAACACAACGCCGGCACAAGAGTCGTGGGGGCCGATTGATGTTACACCTCGACTCGGACGACGTGGTCATGTAGCCTCGAATTTCGCAAAGAGTACCCCCGAACCCTTGAAAAAAACAAACCGCTTTTTCCCCAAAAATACGGGCTTTTCTTCATTCCAAGAGAAGGCATCGCTTGCGCCATCTTTTGCCCGTCTGGGTGCACGCAGCCGCCCCCCTGCCGTTCGGCATGCAGCTGCGTAGGGCACAAGGAGCGAGCCTACTAATAGTACTAATCTCCCCAAAGTTTCCACGAGCGCACAAACGTTGGGGTCGGTGTGGCCCAGTGTCTGAGGGTATACAAAAACGTGTGTGCGCCGTGTCATTTGGTCTGGGCGTCAGCAATCTACACCTTCGGTAACTTTTCTCACGAGTGGACGTGGTTGCGTGGAGAGTCGAAAGCAGCCCTCTGGCCAAGATTGGTCCAAAGACGATGGAAACTCAGTCCCTCCACGCAAAGTACACTTGCGCGAACGTGGGCAAGATATGCAGCAGTACCACCACGGCCCTTGCAGCACGCAGTCGCGTGCTCCCACCAAAACCGTTTCAATGAAAACCCTCAGACCCGATTCCTGACTGGCAGAGCAATTTCTTCGCCGCTTTCCTCTGCGTTCTCCGAGATTATGTACACAACCAACCTTCTCCCATCCCCTAGACTACTATCCACCAGCCTGCATACGTTAGATTTGTCCGTCTCTACAAACTGGACGAATACTATACTACTATACCAGCGTGCTTAGAGTAGATTTGTCCGTCCCTGCAAACGTGAGAAAACCACAGGTCAGTAGTCTAATTTGTGTACTAGCGTGCTTGATGTTCTTGAGGCCAACGAGCAATACAAGTGTTGTATTCTTCTGCTGGAAATTCGTGCGCACCCGGTGGACAAACGAATAATCGACACGTGTACCCTATCCTACGCAACAAGAAAGACACCGCAGGCTGGAATTACTTGTGAAGCTGCGACGCCGCGAAGGAACGCTGTTGTCGCCTGCGCACGAACGCCGTTTGCTTCCACCTTGTAGAAATTACAGCAGTAGTACCTCATCGAGTGGTCAAAGCTGGTTCTCCGATCCCTAAAGTGTGAAACCACCACCTACCAAACAAGTGCCCTACTAGCGTCGGGTGGTGCTCATGGGAAATATCTTGGCGCGCCAAAGGATTGTTTGTTTTTTCCCTGCTCGCAGAGGTGCAACCTAATCGCGGCGTGACACGTGTCCGTCCGTACGTACAGGCAGCTATCACCAGACAAGTGCAGCTGAACTATAGCGTATGCATATGCAAAGCTGCATGTGTACAGAGCGCGAGGGCAGGGCAAGCAGTGCGTCTCCCGCCTGGCAACGGACTGCAGGCAGCAATCCCATGCCTTGCTGAACGGGACGTACCTGCTGTGCGGGGGTCGGCAGTTCCTGACAGTTGCATCACAACAACTTGGAGTTGCAGTTCAGCACGCAAACGTTTGTTGTGTCATGAAGAGACTGCTGTGCGTCTCTTGAGAAGCAAGTTCTTCTTACACACACAAATATTCCTCGAGGAGTACAGCAGTAAACCAACCACACGACGAAACCTCCCGTGCTCACCCGTAAAGGTAGCGATACCCAAGCGCCGCGTGTGCCAGCGGGTCTCCCCCGAGCGACGCGAAAAAGTCGTACAGGACGGCTTCCACGTCCTCGCCTCCCTCGCCCGCGCTGCCGGCCAGGAGCGTCGACAGCGCGTGCTGGGAAGGCGGGTGCCCGAGCTTGGCCGCGCGCTCGTAGAGAGCCCGCGCGGCGTCCTCGTCCCTCTTGATGCCCACGTCCTCGCGGCCCTCGTCGTGGGCGCGGCCGAGCAGGAAGAGCGTCTCCAAGGTGGGGAAGACGGGCTCGGTGTTGAACTGCTCCAGGGTGTCCGTGGAGCGGAGAACGTTGTTCCCGTAGCGGAGGATGTCGGCTTCTTCTTCTTGTTCGTCAGGAGTAAGACTTGGTGGTGGTGGTGCTGCTGCTGCTGCCAAGAGCAGTGCTGCTGCTGCTGCTGCTGCTGTCAGAGCAAGACGGACTCGTCTGCTCGGTGACCGCAACAGCCCGCCCATCGTGATGCTCAGCTGCTGCTGCTGTGCGTGTGTATGTGTTGCACGTGGGGCAATGTTGTTGCTCTCCGGGGGTTCAAACGACACACGGCTCGGAGTATTGACCCCCCCTACGAAATTCATCCGCGTGGTCGCTTGACAGGCACTCGGCACTCGCAGCACACAGCGCCAGAGCAGGCTTGTGCGTGGTTATAGCTGCACGCATGATGCTTGCGCGATCAATCAGCCGTGTTGCGGCTGGATCTGCACGACGCGTGCATGACGGACAGCGGGCTTGCATCTCCTCGCTTGTTGGAGGATGCAACTCCCCCTCATCGATGCCTGCTGTCGATGAGTCTGCTGCGGCGCGACCCAAGGTCAGCAGGCCAGCAGCCTGGGGTGTTGCCTCGCTGCCAGAGCCGAGCAAGGTCGGCAGCTGCCGGAGGCATCTTTCGTCAGGCCGTCCGCCATTTGACATGGGAGAAGACGAGAACGAGGTGGACGGTGAGCTGCTTCCTGGCTTTGGGTGAACCTCACGTGTGCACGTACATACTGTACATAGCGCCGGCCTTCCTCACGGCTGCTGCTGTTAGCGTTTGTTCCCTCTGTGCTGTCCGTCCGTGAAGGGGTGTAGGCACAACTACATACCGCCGACGGCGTGCTGGTTGTGCTACATGATGCACCACCACAGTGGGGACAAAAAATGACTGTGATTTCCCGGGGATGGCCAAAGGCAATGCAGTCCGTATTTGGGTTGTGGTCATGAATGGAGCATGTAGGATCGCGCGTGTTCCTTCACGGGGAGTGCTGTAGACTAGTTAGTCAAGGGTGTTCCAGACACAGGAGCCTTCGCTCCGCCCTCTCTCGTGCTGTTCTGGTCAGGCAGTGCACGCCGCACCGAAGAAAAATCAAATTGCAGTGCTGTTGTTCCTAACCCCCCGGGGTACTGCTATAGACAAGACGTGACGGCAAAAGTTGTCAAGTTCCTATTTCTTGGTCTACGGCAGTTACGGCAGGCTCTAGCCGAGTCCGAACCGCCCATCACGAGAGGGACAGCAGTTGTGGCGCATCATGTCGGAACGCACCCAAAAGGTAGTGAAAAATCCACGTACTGCTGTTTTGTACCTTACATGCAACTCCTACCCACCCAACCCACTTTCTCTCTCTCTCTCTCTCTCTCTCTCTCTCTCTCTCTCTCTCTCTCTCTCTCTCTCTCTCTCTCTCTCTTTTCAGTTACCCCGATCGGAAACAAGCCGGGGCAGATAACACGAGAAGCCATCGCCGAAGCGGAGGCCTCCGAGGACCTCGACGACGACGACATCTTCTCCGGCAAGCCCTCCGACTGGGAGTACGACGCCTCCACCGAAGAAGCAGGGCACGACAGCGAGAAGGCGGAGGCCGGCCGGGAGGGGTTCCGGGACGAAGGCGACGAGGGGGACGAGAACCCCCCCACCCCGATCCTCGACGCCTACGAGAAATCCCGGGACCCCGCGGAGATGGAGCGGCTGATCGCCCTGGCGTTCGACTCTCTCCCCGAGCGCGCCGGGCCGCAGAGGTACAACCACAAGCGCCGGGAGCACCAGCGGTATAGGACTATTAGGGTGAGTGAGTTGAGGGTTTTTTGCGTCATATCTACAGCAAGGATGCAGGCCCCCCCCCCAAAAGGGGAAAAGTTGCTAAACTCTCTTTATCTTTGCACGGTGTGCTTCGCTCTGACACCCCTCCCCTGTTGCCGTGCCTGGGTGCGGAGTCGACCAACGCGAGGCCAAGGCTGCACCTCACAAGCAACCCTCACGGGTGTGGTCAATGATCTCGAGCACCATTACCCTGCCCCCCACCCCAATTACGCGCTGTGCCCGCCATGCGCCCTTTTTGTGTGTGTTCGCAAGCAGCATCCTACTATTAATACCTCTTCCCGTCGTTCTGTTTTCTTGTCGTGTGTTAAATACTTCCAACACGGCATTGATTCTCCTGCGCACTTTTGCGCTTCCGACTAGAGATCCCTACTGCCTCGTATTCTCGCTCCGCACCACACCCCTGAAACACCCAAGCCGTTCCATTCATGGACGGCTTGTGGCCCACCCCTACTGCTCTCTTACAGGTCCCTTGTTCTGTCCACTACTCTGTGGCAAGCGCTGGTGCCTGTCACTGATGCTACGCGTTTTTTCTCAAAGCAAGTTTACACACGCCCGGCTTGCTTTGCCATACAACCAACCCAAAACGTCCGTCCGCAGAACATCAAGTACAAGGAGAAGGCGCAGCGGACGGCGGCCCACGAGCGCAAGCTGCAGAAGAGGAGGGACCGAAAAGCGCGAGACTTGGCTCTGTTCGCCACCTGGAGAGAGACGGGCCCCGCCGAGGAGACTGCAGACGCGGTTGTGCGCTCGTAGATGTGCCGTCTTGTTCCTCATGGGGGGGGGGGGTGTACTCATAGTCGTGCATGCCTTCGTCGTTAGACCATTGACCTCGCATCCCTACAATAATCCCGGGACGGAGCGCGCCGGGTTCTCGACAGACCAGGCTCTCACATCACTAAGCGCGAAGCGCAGTATGGGAGGCGGAATGTATTTTGTAGCGTGGTAGACGAAAGAGCGTACCGTAGTACTTTTGAGTGCTTTAGCTGTCTGTGTGCTCTCAACACTGTTCCGTGTGTCTGCGCGTAGGTAGTGCTTGGACCGTTGGATGTTGTGTGCAAGTATCGTAGCACTAACGAGTAATAAGAGTGCGCCGGACCCCCCGCAAGCGCAAAACAAACAATAGCATCTACTACGTACCAAAATACCTTTGTTGTCGTGGTCATTTTGTTGGTTGATTCGGATTGTCTTGTTTGAATGTAAGCGCTGCGCCGCGCCCACTACCTGATTCGTGGAAGCCGCGGCAGCAAGCCACGCCACTCTGTCATCACGCGGCCGGCTGGTTTATCGCGGATTCTGCTGTACCACCCACGGTACAGCGGTACGCGCTGCTGGATGTCGTGTCAAGAGTCGCAAACAAGCGCAGAAGAAGAGTTGTGGCGTCATGCGTGTTTTCGATCACCTCGCTCAGAAGGGGGAAAAAGGAGGTGCGCGATGGGAAGAAAAAAATATATATATACTCGAAAAGATATTATCCCGCGGCGGAACGTGTGACTGGGTGCCTGCTTCCCTTCGTGTTTGTATTGGGGGCATTCTTCTTTGTGTCGCACTGCACGTTTGAAGCGGGTGGCGTACCGCGTTTTTCGCAACACGAAACTCGCAGACAGCATACATGGGCCCTGCCGAGACTGGTCGAAATAAACGATCTCGTGGTTTGCAAGCGGCCAATCAATATCCAGCGGCATCAAGCCCGCTGATAGACAAGCTGGTTGCTGTGTGTTGAGACCTAAACCACCGTACGTAGATCCAAGCGCGGATGGCGCGAACGCACCGCGTTGAGCGTTTTTTCCTCCTTTTTTTTGTGCCGAACGAGCCACACATGCAAGCAACTTTCCGCACACCGGCTGGCGCGCGTCGTCAAATGATGATTCAACGCATCCCCTCGCTTGTCCCGACTATGTCTTCGTTAAATGTTTCCGCCGACTTAAATCAACCCCGGATGGTGCCATTCGGATGCTTCCAACACCCACGGGCAAAACACTTGGCAAAACTCACAAAAGGCATCATGCACAGCAAACAACACATCTTGTGCACACCCACACAAAAGCAATATTCACAAGAACTGCAGTTCGCATCCCGTGGAGGCGAGCGGGCGGGAAGAAAATCGCGCCGTTTTACTGAAAACAGATATGCCTCCGCCGCCGCCGCCCCGCCCCCTCCGCCGCGTGCGCGCCCACGGCACACATGATACATTACAATTGAGACTTCCATGCTTGTCGAAAAACTGAAGCCAAGCCACATCAAACCGAACTAGGTAACCGCTGTTGATTCCCACTGCTGTACGAAGAACATGGCGATCCTTTTCCACCTGACAACAACAACAAAAAAATGCATGTGCCTGAAAACTAAATATGCTTGCCTGGTGCATTATTCCTGTTCGCATCTGGTGGGACAAATCGTTTTACTTTTTTGAGCGAGATCATCGCCATAGCATAGGACTACTACTGCTGTAGTTTTTTTTTCATCGCCGGTGCTTGTTGTTGTGTTTTTCTCGTAGTAGCACGCACGTGGAAGGATGCATGTTCTTCATATCGACGACACTACTACTACTACTAAGCGTCCAGGAGCGACGACACCCAACACACCAAGAATCAATGAATCCAACAGAGAGGGCAACGTCTATCAAACAGGGCTTACGTGGTGGGTGCGCTCGCCCACAGCAGTGATGCTCAAGGAATACCTCTAGGCCCCAGCGGAAAAAATTAAGTGCGTTGTGGCGTATGGTACGGCCAATAGCAAAGGGCACTCAACACCACGTCCCACGGGAACTGTTTCCACAACACTCTCAAGCCCGGACAATATCGGGAAGTCTGTGCGCTGGCGCCACGGTAGGGTTTGCAAACAGCGTGATGTCCACATTTGTTTATTCCTCACGGTCGCATCTCACCACCGAGTCCAGAGCTTTGGCAACAGCATGGGAATGAATGCTTCCATCCGTCAGCCGATAAAATAAGGCTTGCCCACCGCAGAACACGGGGGCGCCGTGAATGCGGGGTTCGACACACGCACACACAAAAAATCACCCGGTCCTCCTTAGCCACCAGTAGCGAAAACACGCACGCGCGCGCTGGGTTTTCAAAAGAACGGACAGACTGCTGCTGCTGCTACACATCCGGCGTGCGTTTCCACGAGCCGGAAACGGGCGGGGGGTACAAAAATACCTAGAAAAACGTGCATAGAAAATGCAGGAACACATGGGACAACTGGCTAGATAATCAACTGATCGATACATCCATCAACTGCTTCTTCAGGATAACATTTTCCTCCTGCCTTGCTTGGTGCTGCGTGGAAAACAGCACGGAGCAGTATCATTCCCCCCCCCGAGAGGTGAAGATAAAAAAGAAGGAAGGGGAGAACACGCACGCCGCGAGCCTGCCGCTGCACACCGAACACGCAACACAAGACTGTACGCATACCTCTAGCAGGATAAACACACCTGCACGATGATTGGATAGGCCATGTCTCTCACGTCGGCCAGGCTTCGCCTCACTCCACACGAAAAAAGGATGACCACACACAAAAATAATACACAACAAGGACAAATCCCAGAACATCGTTCAGCCCCGCCATAGCTATTGTAGCGGTGGCCCCTCTCCCTACCGTCATCACCACCTGCTTCGGCACCTGAGACGCATACAAAACGAGACTAAGTGACGGACGCACACCGCGGATGATGGACATCCTTTTCGCCGAACCGAAAGTTGGGCGACAAAACCGAAAAGGCCGCACCAAAAGTACGCCGACCTATCAGACAACCCTCTTTCCCGCCGTCTCACACAGCCGAAATCGCTGCTGCTATCGACCCCTCTCTTCTCGAAGACACACCAACGCCGTTCCTTCCTTGCCGTGTCCTCGCCACGTGGCCGTCCGTCGGCATGTCTTTCCCCAACCCCGGGCGGTACCCCGCTTCGCCCCATCGACGGGCCTTAGACCGCTCCCTCTGCCTACTACATGGCTCGTAGACAGAGAGAGGGAGAGGCGCAGCCGCCAAGAAAGAGCTGTGCTACACTTCGCAAACGACGACGGGATGAAACAAAAGAAAAAAAAAAAACACGCACCAGTCAATCTGTATGCTGGTGGTTGTGTGTTCCCGGATTCTCTCCCGGGGCAAACAACACTTGAGGAGGAGAAGAACGAAACCCTAACAAAACTACTACTCGGTCTTGGTCGCCTCTCCCGCATCGATGCCGCTGCCGCTGCCGCCCTGCTGCTGTTGCACGAACGAGTGGTACCACGCCGACACCATTCCCCCCGGCCCTACCGCTTCCGTCGACCCCTCTTGTTGCGGGTTCCCGCCGCCGCCCTCCTCGCCGACACCGCTGCTGCCCTGCGGCACGCCAACACCCCCCTCCCCCCCCGCCGTTTCCGACGCCCACGTCGCCCCCGGCGGGGCTGGCCCAGGCGCTGGGGCCGATTTCGGCGGCAACCCCACCGCGGACACCGAAAGGGGACACAGGACCGCCGTATCGGGGTCATCACCGTCGCCGCCGCCGTCGCCGCCGCCGCCTGCGGCGGGGGTAGGAACGTGCTGCTGGGGACACGAAATCGGCTGCGGCTGCGGCGGGAATGATTGGCCGCCGTAGTTCGCCGCCGGTGGCGGGCCGTCGGCATAGCCCGGCAGAAGATGCGGCTGCTTTGCTGGACTAAGCGCCGGAAACTGTGGGTGGAAATTCGGAAGCCACGGCGTAGGATGCGGGTACGTCAGCGGCGGCGTCGGCGGCGGCGGACCGGAAAACGACGCGATCGCCGCGGGGGGTGGGGGGGGCTTGGCGGGATACGAGACGGC